TGTTCTCTCAACGGACAAACTCCCTTGGCATGCTTATCTCTCTATTTGGCCGATTTCTACTCTTTCCAGCCGCCTCCCCAAGCCTGGTATAGGCTAAATACCTTCCCTTCATAGGCGCAATGGATTACAAGTCGTAGTTGCCATGCATAAATTGAGAAACCCATCTAAACACGCAGGTGCTGTAGTGTACATGCGGAGGTGACAAGTGTAAACATACAGGTGAGCTTGTGTAAACGCCGAGGTGTAGTGTGTAAACAGAGGGGTCATGTTTGGGCAATTAAATGGTCTACTGGTCACAGACAGCCCTGTTCTAACTTCTACCGGGGTTGGTTTGGTTAATTGGGAAGGCAGTGCGCATCTATAGGCCACAGCAAGTAAATGTTATGGATGACATCCTCAGCAGACTCCAAATCAAATGCGACTGGGTGAAAAAAACAAGGCGGGCTCAAAAAAGACAAGATTCCTACATTTTTCAAATTTTGTATTGTATTTTAAATTCTGATACAACATCTGCCCGACGATATGAGCACAGCAAGCTGTCTGGTGCAGGTGGTTTGTGGAAACTGCCACCGTCCGAAAAGAGTACTCTCCAAGAAAAGGCTTGGGTTTTTTGGTTATTTTTGGCGTGTTTTAGGCTTTTTTATCGGGGTTTCTTTTTTGCACTGGGATTTTTTTTTTTGAGTAGGGTTAAAAAAATCAAGTGCAAAAAAGATACCCAGATAACAAAAAGCCTAAAAACACGCCAAAACCCAAACATATGCTTGGAGAGTACGAACATTAACTACAATAATAGCGCAGACTGAGCAATCGAAAATAAAAGATCGGAGGACAAAGATAAAAGTTTAAAAATCACGTTCAATCATAATATGCAACGATTGGTATTCCTTGAATACTATCTAATAAATTTGTCATTGACAAAGTATGGCATCGATACTGATAATCTCAAAACATGCATTGTGAGCTTGTTAAGTAGCGTTTTGAAGGAAAAGCCTCATATATTAAAGGGTTACTATTCAGGTTAACCTTGCTTCCTCCATCCCAATATAATGAATTGTACACTATAAAATGATAAGCGCCTATTGCGGTTCACTTTTCTTTCTGCTTATATTCAACTGATTTCAATACATTAGATCCTATAGATAAATTCAATTTAATTCTCAGAGGAGATGACCAATACAGTGTTCGAATAGGGAAATACATTGAAGAATGTTTAAATTTTAGAGACTACATGTTAGAGAATAGTTAAACCATGGAGGTAGAAAAAGAGACCTCCATGGTTAAACCTTTCTTGTGGCCGCTGACATATATTCTGTACGTAGTTTGCCACATAATATATTCTATACGTAGTTTGCCGCATACAGGATATTACTTTTTTTCATACGTGTGTTTAGCTTTGTTACATCTTAAGTTGTAGAATACCACAAAAAAGTCCCTGTACTTTTTGTTGAGTCAATAAAGAATCCATCTATCCTATATCTGCCTGGGCACGTCGTCTCCTAGGTCCTGCTCCTGAGAGCCAACTGTACTCCCTGAAAATGCCCTGAACTGGCGTGTGATGTCTTCATTCTGTTGGCGTGAAATGCTTGTTTTCCTTTCTCTGCCCAAATATTTCCCCACGTCCTGGAGCGGCCGGTGTTTTCCCCATTATAAACCATTAGCTCTGCATGAAAGGGCGGACCGCGCCACGCGGCTCAGCGGACCTAGGTTTGTTGTTTAGACAAGGCCGGTACCGTACCTACTTGTTTATGTGTCTTTCTTCCGTCCATGGTCGTTCTCTACCCCGTTCTTTCCCCCCTCGGCCAATAACGTACCAGGAAAAATAGGATATCATTTTCTGAAAGACATGTCCTCGCACACAAATTTTGCAGCGTAATAAACACCTGTACATACGATTCTCAATGATGATTGTGAGCTACAAATCACTTTGCTAATCGTTTTATTTTGTTTTGTATATATACGTGTATCGCCGGCGTGTTATTCAGTTCGTGACAGCGGTGTTTTTACTCGAGTGGTTCCGCGGGACGAGGAAGGGT